CAATCTCTTGTCCTTCCATCACCTAATTCATTCTGAATTCCTGTGCTAACAGAGGTAATCACAGTAATTGCTGAATTGTTGGGAAATGTACTTTGAAGTCAGTCATTAATTTATTGATCACCTACTTACTATGTGCCAGGTACTGTATTAAATTCTGGAGACATTAAGAAAAGCAAAAGACAGTCCCTGAGCTTGAGAAGGTTACAGTCTAATGGAGGAATCAACATGCAAACAAATATATGCAAACAAGCCACATACAGGATAATTAGGAAATAATCAACAGAGAGAAGACATTAGAGTTAAGAAGGGTTGGGAAAGGCTTTTTGTAGAAGGCAGGATTTTTTCCAGGACTTGAAAAAAGCTAGGGAAGCCAGGAGATAGAGATGAGGAGGCAGAGCATTCCGGGCATGGGGGACAGCCAAGAGAAAATGTCTAGAGCCAAGAAAGGGAGTGGTTTGTTTGGGAAACGCAAGGAAGCCAATGTCACTGTATGGAAGAACACATGCTGGGGAGGGGTATAAAGCACAAGAAAACTGGAAAGTTGGGGGAAGAGGGCTAGGTTATAAAGGGCTCTGAATGCCAAACATAGAATTCTGTATTTGATCCTGGAGGTGATAGGGAACCACTGGGGTTTAATGAGTAATAAATTCAATAAGCAGGGGGTGTATTTAGATTTTTATTGGGTAATGTTTATTATGTCCAAACCAAATCAAATCAATATAATTTTATTTTTAATTTATTTTTATTTTTTATTTTTTGGCTAGGCAATGGGGTTAAGTGATTTCCCAGGGTCACACAGTTAGTTACGTGTTATATGTCTGAGGCCGCATTTGAACTCAGGTCCTCCTGAATCCAGGGCCAGTGCTCTATCCACTGTGCCACCTCAGTGCCCCAAAATCTATATAATTTTAAAAACAAATGTCTTGACATTGTCCTTTAGCCCTTTTAGCCCTACTAATCTCCAGCCCTGCTAATTCTCAAACCCTGCAGCTGGAGAAAGGGACAAAACTATGCTGACCCTGGCCACTACAAATCTTGCTGTCTAATTTCTTCTGGGCCCTCACTGATGCACAGCAATCCTACTCATCTGATTGGTTCCTTCATCACACTTAAAAACAGCAGCTCCTCCAAACCCTATGTAACCCTTGCTTTGAATGCCTATATTACTGAAACCACAGATTTTTTAAATGAATTTTTATCCTAAACTTAAGAATAAAATGGGCATTTCCACATTCACAGTAGAATGAAAAAAGAAGCTTGTACATGAAACTGCAGATCTCTTATTATGTACAGCTTACTTTTCATTTTAAGTATAAAAGCTTGTTTCTGCTTCTTTCTGGACTTCCTCCTGTTCTTTTCTCTGCATTTAAGACAAAAAAAAGACACCTCAATGATTCCTTCTCCCTCTCTACCCCCATCCCTATTTCCCCTTGTTCTCCCAACCCACAACTAGGAAAAAAAAGAAAAAGAAAGCCCTTGTAACAAATATGCACAGTCAAGCAAAACTAATTCCCACATTGGTTATGCCCACAAACATATGTCTTATTCTACATCTTGAGTCTATTGCTTCTCTGTCAAGAGGGAAGCAAGTTTCATCAGTCCTCTGGAATTGGTTTACAGATATTGTTACTATAGCTTTAAGAGCAAATTGAATATTAAGGAAAACAGTTGGTGTGGGCAGCTGGGAGGGACAGTTAAGGAAAGGATTATTGTGAAGGACCTACTCCTATAGAGACAGACAGACATGATGGGGTGAGGGGTATAGGGTGTGCTTATCAGTGAGCCATGACAGTCTATGAAGAATTTGAACTATGCATGCCTTTCCCTATAGGGCCAGGGAGAGAGTGTTTTTTTTTTAAAAAAAACATTTTTATTAAAAGTTTTTATTAAAAAGACAATGGTATTCATACAAAACAATAGTGGTCTTACAATCTGTGTGTGAGGATGTTTGGTTTTTTTTAAGATTTTTAAAAATTAATTTATTTTTACGTTTTCAACAATAACTTCCATAAGCTTTTGAGTTTTAATTTTTCTCCTCCTCCCTCCCTCCCACCTCCCTCCCCAAGATGGCATGCAATCTGATATAGGCTCTACATATACCTTCCTACTAAACATATTTTCACATTAGTCATGTTGTAAAGAATTAGAACCAATAGGAGGAACCACAATAAAGAAGAAACAAAACAAAATAGAAGGGGGGAAAAAAAGAGCAAATAGTATGCTTTAATCTGCATTCAAACTCCATAGCTCTTTCTCTGGATGTGGATAGCATTTTCCATCATGAGACCTTTGGAGTTGTCTTAGATCTCTGCATTGCTGAGAAGAGCTAAGTCTATCAAAGTTAGTCATGGCACAGTGTGGCTGTTACTGTGTACAACGTTTTCCTGGTTCTGCTCACTTCACTCAGCATCAGTTCATACAAGTCTTTCCAGGTTTTTCTGAAGTCTGCTTGCTCATCATTTCTTTTTTTTTTTAATTTTATTAATTTATTTCAATTTATCAACAATCACTTTAAATTTTAAAAAAAAGTTTAAAATTTTTCTCCCTCTTCCCACCACCCTCCACAAGACAGCACACAATCTTATATAGGCTATACATTTACATTCCTATTAAACATATTTTCACTTTGAAGTTGTAAGTAAAAATTAAAACCAATAGGAGGAACCATTATAAAGAGGAAACAAAACTCAACAGAAGAGAAAAGAAAAAGAGAAAAAAAAAGGAAAAAAATGATAGCGATTCAACTTCCATAGTTCTCTCTTTGGATGTGGATAGCATTTTCCATCATGAGGCCTCTGGAGATGTCTTAGATCCTTGTATTGCTGAGAAGGGTTAAGTTTATCAATATTAGTCATCGCACAACGTGGCTATTATTGTGTACAACGTTCTCTTGGTTCTGCTCATTTCACTCAGCATCAGACCATACGAGTCTTTCCAGGTTTTTCTTAAGTCAGCCTACTCATCATTTCTTATAGCACAATAATATTCCATTACATTCATATACCACAACTTATTCAGCCAAAAAAAGGAAATTTGGAAAAGGAGAGGGTTTAGGGAAAAAGGTGAGTTGTTTTGGGGACATGTTGAGCTTGAAATGCCTATGGGACTTCAGTTCAAGATGTCTAAAGGTCAGTTGCTGATGTAGGACTGTAGTTTAGGAGAGAGACTTGGCCTATATACATAGACTTGGGAATTATCTGTATAGAGATGAAAATCAACCTGTGGCACCTGATGAGATCACAAAGAGTATAAAATGAAGAGAGAAGGTCCAGGAGAGAACCTTGGGGACATAGACCTTATTAGCATCATTAGAGGCACTTGAGAATCTCTCCTTTGCTCTAATCCCAAGAGTGTTTTTGGCTGAAGTGGAGAACATGTTAGAATAAAATGCGGAATTGAAACAAGAAAAACCAACAAAAATTAAAACTAACCTGTAGACAATTCACCACATATGGTAGATTATTTTTGGGGTCACTCTGCAATAGCCATAGGGTAAGAGGCCAGAAGCAAGAAATGCTGCGACTCCTAGGCATTAAGTAACCTGGCCTCAGATGGAGGTGTCAGGTTGGTAAGGAGATGAATTATGGAGAAAGTAGAAGGGCTTGGTGCTGGGCTGGCTGTGAAAGGGGAAAGGAAGCATTAATGATTGATCCAAATCTATAACCCGGGATCAGTAGGACAGAAGTCTTACAAGTTGAGACAAGAAAGTTGGGAATGCATAAGGTTTGGAGTGAGAAAGCTACTTTCACAATAATTTTCGAAGCAGGTGGCAAGACATTTAGTTGGCAGAGATGGGGAACTATTCAACGGATAGGGAGCGAGAGAATGATGTAACCTGCCATATATTTACTGAGAACTCCATTTCCCCCTTGTGTTAGTGTCCTTGACTAATGTCAGGGAAGCCATTAGAGGAAATTTGGGGAGAAACTAGCAAAATTAAGTAGTTCTAGTGTAATCAGTATAGAAACAAGTCTAGGAAAAAAAACTCAAAACAGAAGAGATCCATCTGAAAATAGAGGTCTCTCCCACCTGCTTGCCATTTTGGTGATTAGGCCCTTACCTAAGGTCAAAGAATAGCCATTATTATTTTTATGTATTTTTTAACATTAAATTTTATTTTATTCTCACATGAAGATCTGCCTTTTCTCCCTTCACAACTCCCCCTCCCCCCCAGCACACACACAATTGAGAAGCAAGAAAAATAAAATCCTGGTTACAAACACGTACAGTACAAAACAAATTGCATCATTGGCCATGTCGAAAGGTATCTCTCAATCTGTACTCTGAGTCCATCACGTCTCTATCAGGAGGCAGGCAGCCTGTTTCATCAAGAATCCTCTGGAACTGTGGCGGCCAATGTGTTGACCGGAATTAACAGCCTTTAACTACTGCCTCTTTTTGGCCACGGTCCCAAGCAGCAACCTGGGACAAAGCACAGAGAGCAGCGGCCCCTGGTGTTGAATCTTGGTTCTGCTTCTTGTATGACCTTGATGAAGTCTCTGAACATCTCTGGGCCTCAGTTTCCTCATCAGTAAAATGAGGAAGTTGACCTTATAGTGGCTGACCACTAAGACCCCTTCAAGCTCTAAAATCCTGCTATCCCCTACCTTTCAGTATATTAAGCATGTTGCAGGAATTTGGGAAGAATAAACAACCTAGATAGGTTAACTAGCCTCAGTCCAGAATTCTGGGCTTGTGACTGGATTCCAGCTGCCACAGCTAGTGCTACAAGTGTGATTAGTGATCAGTTGTTTCCAACTGTCCGTGACCCCTTCTAGGGTTTTCTTGGTAAAGATAATGGAGTAATCTGCCATTTGCTTCTCTAGCTCATTTTACAGATGAGGAATGGAGGCAAACAGGGTTATGTGACTCAGCCAGGATCATACAACTAGCACATATGTAGTAAGGTAATGGACAGGATGTAAAAAAAATAAAAGCCAAGTCAGAATGTGATGTTACCAAGTTTCACTCTTCAGGGTGCTAGATATAAATTACAAAGAGTCAATCAAACAAGCATTTATTAAGAGCCAGTCATACTCAGACTTGGCAGCCATTCAGAATTTTACCTTCCACAAGCCCAGTATCAATGTGATACAAAAATACAATCATCACCCCTGTCTAATCGGAGTTTTAGGGTTACACTCCTGCCGTTCCTAGGAAACATCTTGGCAGGTGAATGCAAACACCTGTTTTTGGGCCACAGGCAAGCAGAGCCATAGCATAAACTGTGGGAATGCAGCCAGGAACCACTCAAGAGTTTCTGCTTGTAAAAAAGGTTCTGGTTTGGCAGCCCGATTCTGAATGCTATCACTGTGTTGTTGTTCAGACACAGAGAAGTAATTTTCTGGATCCCAAGATGCAATTTTTAGGGGGAAAGGGGAGGCTAAGTAGGCTTAAGTTCTGCCCCTAGCAGGAAGAGTCATCTCCGTCATTCCTGGACACCAGCGTCAAGTCCCAGAAATCCCCAGGGCTCTTCTTCATGCCAGTTTCTTTGGCTTCCCCTCAGATCAGCTAACAGGTTGTCTTTGCTCCAGCTGTTGCTGCTTGTGTTTCTTGAGCTCCCGGTAGGCCTGCACAACACGCTCTCTCTCCTCAGCCACAATCCGCTGTCGAGCCAGTGAGACGGCTGGGGCTTGGGAGGCATTGCTAGGGGTCAGGAGGCTCGTCAGCAACAGCGACTTCTTGCCGAGCTGAGGAAAAGAGGGCAATAAGGAGAGAAGGCTGGGGCCCAGGAGAGAGGTGAGGCTCCCCTTGGGCCTGTTCTTAGCACTACCAGTACTTGTGTGAACAGCTCACAGCCCCATCAGGGCTGAGATCTACCTTCTACCTAGACCAGGACAGGAGAAGTTGTCTCCTCTGCTCCCAGGCACACACCTTAGGTGCTACCCAGAAGTCCCACCAAATCAACCTTCACTGGAAGGGTGATGGAGAAGGTTATTTCAAGCTCTTATGACCCACTGACACATTCACCCTCACTGAACACATTAGTTATCTGACCAGACCCCCTCACCCAAGCCCCATATTACCTTGTCACTGTTTGTGCTCTTCCTTGGTTTTGCTGTTAATTCTGGAGGCTGAAGGACAACCTCACCAAATTTCACAGAATCTACAATGGGACAAGGAGGTTTGAGAATGACTTATTATAGGATGCTGGCTACATAGCCAAACCACTCACATCTCATTTCTCCCTGCCCCCTCTTTAATCAAGAACCACCCACAACCCTGCTCTACCTTCCCTGACAAAGATAACCCCAGAGAAAGAATTTGATTTCTGGTTCAAATTGTACCACATGTGGCTAGGGCAGGTAGAGAACCAGACACCAAGTGCTGCCCTTGGAGTCACGCGAAACCTGAGTCTGAATTTTACCCCTGACTCTCACTGTGTGACCCATTCTGAGCCCCCATCCACAGAAATAAGTAAAGTGCTATTGAACAGATCAAATGAGATAAGGTATACAAAAGGGCTCTGCAAAGATCATGACATGATATACAAGTCAGCTGTGATTACATTTATCATTAAAAGTTTCTACAAGTGGCATGGCCGAAACCACCGGGTGTTAGCTAACCTGCTCTCTGATCTGTAAGTCCTCAGAAATCCCTAAAATGCAGCTATCTCTTCTGGCGCATGTCTCCAAAAGCAGGGGACTGGGAGATCAAATTCCAGGCAGGACTACCTTGAAATAGTTCTTTTTCCAGGCCAGCTATTGCCTTTTCCTCTTTCTGATGTCGAACTTTATCCAAACGCCGTCTCTGGAACCTAAAAAGCCAAATACAGTTCATTTTTAAAAAAATATTTTCCAGGATGCTGAACTGATATCCATATCACTCACGAAAATACACATCTCACAGCAATTATTATTGTTGTTCAGTTGTTTCAGTCATGGCTGACTCTTTGTGACACCATTTGGGGTTTTCTAAGCAAAGATACTGGAATGGTTTTTCATTTCCTTCTCCAGCTCATTTTACAGATGAGGAAACTGAGGCAAACAGGCTTAAGAGACTTGCCCAGGGCTATACAACTAGTAAGTGTCTCAGGCCAGATCTGAACTCAGGACGATGAGTCTATCCACTCTGCCAACTATCTGGAAGTTAATAACTATAAGGTGAAACTTGAAACAGAGGTGGAGAGTCTGAAGAACATGGGTCAAAGGGAACAGGAGGACTACCCTCTCAGGAAACTTCCAAGAGGTCCTAGAATAGAGTCAAGAAAAACCAGGACTGTAGTGACAAAAGACCTCAGATGCAACCTTAGTCAACATCCACCAAAAGCATTAATCCCATCTGTAGCAGCCCCACTGAGGGCTACCCAGATTGCTCTAGTGACAGGGCGCTCTACTCCCCAAGGAAGCTCACTCCATTTCTGGATAGCATTAATAATAAGAAAGTTTGTCCATGCACTGTCCTGAAAACAGCCTTCCTGCATTTCTACCCACTGATCTTGGTTCAGACCCCCAAGAACCAATCAAATCCAAGTCTAACATTTCTACATAACAATCTCATCATATATCTGAAGTCTTCTTATCATCTCAAAATAGTTCCTTGCTTTTCTAGGCTAAACATCTCCTTGAACTTCAAATGATTCTTCTGTGGCTCGATTCTAAGATACTTCACTATCGTGGGTGTTTTCCTTTGGAAAACGTGGCACCCAGAATTGGACACAATAACCCAGATGTGGTAGAAATACGGATGACTTACATTTATTAATGTCACTTAAGAGGCAGCTAGGTGGCGCAGTGCCAGATCTGGAGTCAGGAAGACTTTAGTTCAAATGTGACCTCAGACCAGTAGTAGCTATGTGACCCTGGGAAAGTCACTTAACCTCTGCTTGCCTCAGTTTCCTCAACTGTAAAATGGGGATAATAATACCCTGAAGGTTGTTTTGAGGATCAAATGAGAGCTTCAAGTCAATCTGCAAATTTGCACAGTGCCTGGCCCAAAGGAAGTGCTTAACAAAGGCTTGTTTTCTTCTTTCCTTCTAAGATAACCTTAGCTTTTTTTTTGTCAGCCACAATATACTGCTGATTCAAACTGAGCTTATGGTCCACTAAAACCCTAAGATCTTTTTTCACATGAAAAATATGAAAAATTCCAGTCACATTTTCCTCTACCTCATACTTGAGCTTCTGAACAAACAGACTTTATATGTATATACTTTATATTTATTTTTCATCTCTGTGGATCCTGACTCCATCCAACATAACTGCTATCTCCCAGTTTTTTGGTCAACCGCAAATTTTAGAAAGAACCCAAATGCCTAATAAATGTTCAGTAAAGGTGAATTTATGCCATTAATAGTTTTAGAAATCCAACTACGTCATCCTTCTAATGAAGCCTGAGTTGGTAAGGCTCCAGGACAAAGTCTCACAATGTTTAAATTTTAGATACTGGTGCACCAACAAGGAAAGAAAAACAGCCATATGTAGAAAGAAAAACAGCTATAACTAGAGTAGGGTAGAGGAAAACAACTATAGGAACAACGGAGTTCACAAACAGCCTGCAAGGAATCTTTTCTTCTGCCTATCCTCCCCATAGGACACTCTGTGGCTACCAATGGTCTCCATGGGGTCCCCCAAACTCAGCACTCCACCATTCCAACTCTATGTCTTTGCACAGACTATCTAACCTATTAGGCAGGTAGATGGCTCATTGGATAGCAAGCTGGCCTGGAGTTGGTAAGACTTGAGTTCAAAACCAGCCTCAGATACTTAATGGCTATGTGACGTTGGACAATTCACTTAACCACTACCGACTTCAATTTGCTCATCTGTAAAATGGGTAAAATAATGGTGCCTACTTCAGAAAGTTCTTGTGAGAATAAAATAAGATATCTGTAAAGCTCTTTACAAACCTTAAAACGTTATGTGAATCCTAGCAATCATCATCATCATCATCGACATCCAGGCTTCCTCCGAGGCTTGGCTCATGTACTACCTCTCACCAAAAGTAGGGACCATTTCCTGCTACTCTCTCCTTCTCCAGGTAATCACACATATGTTTACATGTTTATCTGCGTTATCCTCCTGTGGAATTTAAGCTTCTTGAAAGCAGAGCTATTTATTTTTGTCTTTCTATCTCCCCAGTGCCTAGCACAGTACTCTGCATACAGCAGGTGCTTAAAATAAATGCTTGTTGTATTGGATTTGTCCTTGCCACACAACTGACCACTCATGCAGCATCCTGTACTGTCTGCTGGTATCTCACATGTTTCACTTCTTGTTTCCTCAACTAGATTGCAAACTCCTTAATGGCAGGAAATTTAATTACACAGTACCTAGCCTAGCACAGATGCTAAAAAACCTGTTTACCGATTTGACACAAACTGGAAACTTGCTTCTCCAGGCCTGCCTTTGGGGTTATCTGGGGGTTTCTGTCGCCATCTGCTGGTGAATCGCCATCATTGCCATCAGCCAATGAAACCTTGGGGCCTGATTAGTGCTCTGGAGTCCAGAAGCCTCTCAAGTCCCTGTGCCCTGACACGTTTGGGGATAGGAACACCCTCAAGCTGGAGGTCTAAGCAAATCCTCACCACATCCCAACCAAACTCAACTCACTCTTTCTTTCGCTGAGATTTCTCTTTCTTTAGCTGAGAAGGTTCTGCCTTCTCAGGTTTCCGTTCCTCCTGGTTCTCACTGAGGAAGATCACGTGCTGGGCCTCTTGTTCCATTCGGTGGACATAGGCTTTGTCCGACTCCTTTTTTCCCTGCTTGAACTTGGGAACTGGGATGTCTGACAGAGATCCCATTGCTTCCTTCTCAAACTTCTGCCTGAATGCCACTTGGACTAGGAAAACAGCCAGAATGTAAAGTTTTATAACAGAAAGTGACCTGAGGAATCATTCATTCATTTTATGGAGGACAGTGAGACCCAGAGTAGTAAAGATCACAGAGCTTATTAGTGGTGCAAGTGGGCTGAGAACCCAAGTCTTCTGACTCTCATACTCTTACAATATACCAGGCTTTAGGAACCTCAGAAATGGGGGAGAAGAGGTTTATTTAAGAGAGTAAAGAAGAACCCTCTCTTCTATAGGCAGAAGAAAGCCTTTTCGGCCTTAATCAATATAATTTATTCTAAAATTAGACTTCCCATAAAGCAAAGGTTCTTAATCGTGTGTGTGTGTGTGTGTGTGTGTGTGTGTGTGTGTGTGTGTGTGTGTGTGTGTGTGTGTGAGATAGACCCCTTTGGCAGCCTGATAATCCTATGGACACCATCTCAGAATATTCCTAAACGCATAAAGTGTAAAGGATTATAAAAGATTACAAGGAGTACAAAAGAAATCAATTATACTGAAATACAATTACGTCACCTGCCCCTAAAAAAAAAAAGGTCAGAACCCTTGTTTGGGAAGAGGGGGAGTAAGGGAGAAGGAGAGATGTTCCATTTTTAAACAGGCCCAATTCAAAGCAAAATGGTCTTAAACAAGCCTTATTTCCCAATCACAGATTTAGAGCTGGAAGGGACCTAAAGATCATTAAGTCCAAACTCTCATTTATCTTAACTCCCCTTCCCCCACCTCCTCCACTCCCCATGTATGCTAGGCTCTAGCTAGTCTAAACTACTGACTTACCTGGGCTTCCTCATATCTATATGCTTTTGCTTATGTTGTTTCTCTTTCCTGACTTTCTGCTGACTAAAATATCAACTATCTACCATGACTCACATTCCACCTAATCCACACTACCTTCCTGCCCTCAACCCAATGTTATCTCTTTCAGAACCCTGAAAACACTGACAGGTAGCAAGTTCAGCCCAGCGCTGCAGTGCGAGTAAGGGTGGTTATTTGGGAACTCCAGATCAATGGAGTCCCCCAGTCAAGTGAGAATGCAAAGGGCAGGAAAACAGACTACAAGATGTAAGGATTTAACCTTTTGCTGATCCAGAGTACCCCACTGGCATATGAAAATATTACAAAATGCCGAAGAATATTGGAAGAGACCCCTGGGCATGGATTGCTTTGGTGGTTTTCCTCTTTTTAGTATCCTGGACAGAGTGGGGAAGACTGTCAACTCTAAGGAAAGTGTTCACGCTTCATATTTTTCTTTATTTCTACTAGAAAATGCAGCAAGGGGTGTGGGAAGGGATTTCTCTCTTCCATCCCCACCTCCCATTTGGCACTAGTGTTTTGGCAGAGTCCAGAGGCAGAGCACAGCTGAGCTGGTATGGAGAATCTGGGTTCGGCAGGCAAGACTCTGCTCCAGAGAGGCAAGATTCCTGCTAGTTCTACAGTATAGGTTCTACTTCTTTCCTAGAGCACACAGCAAACAATACCCTAGGCCAGGATTTTAGCTGAAGTTAAAGACTACTTTAGTAGACTACTGCCAGTTTTCAGAGCCACAAGCCCTGCCTAGGAGGCAACCAGACAACTCACTAAGGGGAAATGCTTCAACCCACAAGAAACAGCTGGGGACCATCATGAGAAGGTGGGGGGGGGACAACGAAGGAGAGATACATCCCTAGAGGTATAAGTTACCTTGAACATGTCTCCAGCATGCATGCCTCTGCACTCAAGAGATTTATAAGTGTCAAGGCAGGTAGGTGTGGAGGTGGAGAGGGAACATTGGACTTGGGGTCAGGAAGACCCAAGTTCAAATCTACTCTCAGATGCTTATAAATAGCTAAATAGCTGTGCAACCTCAAGACAAGTGACTTAACCTCTCTCAGTCTTAGTTTCCTCATTTGTAAAAATAGGGAAAATAATAGAACTTACCTCCCAAGGGTTGTTAAGAAGATACGACATAATATTTGCAAAGAGCTTTGCAAATCTTAAAATGCTATATAAATGCTAGCTATTATTCAAATTGACACTGAGTTTCTGGTTTGGGGAGAGACATTTTGTTGATATTTATTGTGCCATTTCACAAAATACTTTTACTTTGGGGTTGTGTCCACCACATCAAAAGGTAAACACATCCACTGTGGTTTATGAGCTATACAGGAGCATAGAGCCACTAAGTACTTTAAAGTGAGAGTCTTAACCTTCTGAGTCCAAGCTATAAGTTCGAGTTGGGGGAAAAAAAGAGTGAGCCCCTAGGCCATAATGTAATTTGAGTAACTGTTTTAATTCTCCTACTAGATTATGAACTCCGTGAAGAAAGAATCTGTGTTTTCACTTCTCTCAATATCCCCCACACAGACTAAGTACTCATCAATGCTGAATTGACTGGAGATGAATTAAAGACATGTTGACAGTGAGAGTGGAATCAGGAATCCAGAAGTCCAGGGTTAAAGTTCTGTCTGTCTGAGGTCTATCTATGTACAGCCACGGACAAGTCACTTAACCTCTCAGTGCCCCTAACAGGACTCCCTAAGTGCTGAATAACAGAGGACTGTTGATGTGCACAAGAGCAGAGAATTCCACACAAAGAACTCCCTGAAGCAATGAAATCACAAGTCCAGAACCCACAAAGAAGGTTCAAGCTACTCCACAGAGTGTCCTACCTGCTTTTCTTTTCTTTTTGCTGATATGTCTTTTCATCTCCTGACGGCTCTTCATAATTTCCCGAAGTCGGAAAGGAATCTCTTGATCATCCAAGTTCCTGGGCTTAGAGTTTACTTTCTTCTTCTCTTTTCTGGAAAGAAAAAAAAAACACAAGAGATGTGTTAGCACCTTCTGAACACCTTCCACTCCAGCTGGTGGTTATACTGGTATCTCTTGTATTTGTACCTTGGCAGAAGCTCATCATTTACCCACAACTGCTGTAGCCTAAACTGAATTCTCATGGATCTAATGACAATCACATTAATCACCACCTCATTCATTCCCTATGGGGAAGTCAAGGCCCCAGATCATATTAAGTTAACAGTATTTTTGAGCTCGAAGATATCTTGACGCCCCAGGCCCAAAGGGGGGTGGGGTGTGTGTGTGTTATGCAGTACATTAGTATAGTTTGTGTGTTTTATACAGTATATTAGGATAGGACAGGGGAAGGGAACCTGCAGTCTTGAGGCCACATGTGGCCCTCTAGGTCCTCAAGCTCAGCCCTTTGACTGAATCCAAACTTCACAGAGCACATCCTTTAGGATCTTACCCCTCTGCCACTTTCTACCTTATGCAAGTCACTTAGCATCCCTAGGCCTCAGTTTCCTTATCTGTAAAAAGGCAGGGGGGTGGATTAGATGAGTTCAGAGGTCCCTTCCAGCTCTAGATTTATGATGGAGATAATCTACTATAAAGTCTTCATTTTATAGGTATGGAAACAGGCTGAGAAAAGTGGCCCAGTCAAAGTCATATCACTAGCCTGGAGCAAGCCCAGCCTCAAACCTTGGTCTTCCAGCTCACCTCTTTCAACTGTACTACACTGCCTCTAATTTGAGACATGTAAACCATTTACTATTATAGGTTGGGTAAATGAGGATGATATATATTAAATGCCAAATTACTATCCACTACAGTGTAATCTCAGCATTTCAGGGCAACTTGTTCTCTCTTCTTACCTCTCTCACTCCTCTCCCTCTCATTAGATCAGTTGTAACCAATTTTCACAATGCCTCCAGTGCAAAGTACTCTAAGCGCACTTGAAAACCAAGGAGACCCAAGCAGATCTGAGGGATGAAGTGCAAAAATACTTTGTGGACCTTAAATTACCATACAATAAACACTAATGATCATAACTTACACTTTAAAGTTTGAAATATGCTTAACACACATCTCACGTAAGCCTGACAACAGACCTGTTGGGACACATATATCATTCTCATTTTGTTGGTGTTCAGTCATTTTTTTCAGTTCTGTCTGACTCTGCACGGCCCCATCTGGGGTTTTCTTGGCAAAAATAATGGAGTGGTTTGCCTTTTCCTTTTCCAGCTCATTTTACAGAGGAGGAAACTGAGGCAAACAGGGTGAAGTAACTTGCCTATGGTCACTAGTGAGTGTCTGAGGACAGATTTGAACTCAGGAAGAGGAATCTTCCTGACTCCAGGTCCAGCACACTACCCAACTACCCCCATATAAATTGGTACATAATAATAATAGCTAATGTTTATATAGAGTTTACTGTATTATCTCATTTGATCTTCACAACAATCCTGGGAAGTAGGTGCTGTTGTTGTCTCAATTTTACAGATGAGGAAACTGAGGCAAACAGGTTAAGTGGGGGCAGCTTGGTGGTGCAGTGGATAGAGCACTGGCCCTGAAGTCAGGAGGACCTGAGTTCAAAGACGACCTCAGACCAAAACAGTTGACACTTACTAGCTGTGTGACCCTAGGCAAGTCACTTAACCCCAATTTCCTAAACAAACCAACAGTTCTGAGTGTCTGAGACCAGATTTGAACTCATGAAGAGGAGTCTTCCTGACTCCTGGCCAAGCACTATCCACTGTACTACCTAGGTGCCCCTCTCTCATTTTACGGAGGAAACTGAGGCTTAGAGATTAAGAGCCTTGCTCAGTTACCGTCATTATTTTTTATCCATTTCTCGAGACGGTAATAATATTAACAGTCACCACTGCTGTTTTTACTATTAATTAACTATGTTACTTATGTTGTTGAATTAACATATATTAATATGACACTCGGGAAATTCGTGAAGTTGGCTGGGGAGAGGGGCGAGGGTGTGACCCCGCGGGACGTGTCGTACCTCGCCTGTCCCGGCTGCGGCGTCGGAGGTTGCTTCCCTCGTTTCTGATGCCCCTGCTGCCTCCGCGGGTGCCGGGAGGCAGACCCCGCGGGCCCCGGGGCTCCAGGGCGCCCAAGCCGGGCTTTCGCCATCCTGCACCGCAGACTCGCCCCCACGTGCCTGCACTTCCGCCCTCCGCTCCGGCCCAGCCCAGCCCCGCCCCCTGCCTTCCTTGTCCCACCTCCTCCCCGCGGCCATTGGTCAGTGCAGCACGGGTCGGGGGCCACCATTGGTCTGCGTGGTCGCCGCTCAAGGCCTCCCCTCCCACCCACGGAGGTACGCGCTCCCCGCCTTAGCCACGATGCTGCTGCTGCTGCGGAGCGCCGGCGGCCGCAGACGCTTGACTGCTGCCGCCATATCCGCCGCTCCATTACCCCCGGCAAGTACTGGGGACCCGCGGAGGGAAGGGCGGATTGAGGGCCAAGGGGTCAAAGCCTGACGAGCCAAAGGGCAAAGGTCACATGGCGGCGGTGCGTCGCGCGGTCCCGGGGCTCGCGTCAATGACTTTCGGGGGCCTGCAGAGGGCGAGTGTGTGTTTCCCTAGGGTCACTCCGAGGGGCCTTGCCAGGGCCTGAAGAGTACCCAGGCCCTTAAGCCCTTAACCCCAGGGCCTCAGGCTGATAGTAATAATGACAATAACAGCTAGTATGTTAATAATGATATTAACAGTTGTTATCAATAATAGGCAACATTTATATAGCGCTTACTATGTGCCAGGCTCTGTGCTAAGTGCTTTACAATTATTGCACTTGAACCTTGAAACAACCCTGGGAGGTAGGTGCTGTTATCATCCCCATTTTACAGATGGGGAAACTGAGGCAAACAGGTTAACGACTTGCCCAGGGTCACACAGCTGGTAAGTGTCTGAGACTGGATTTGAACTCAGGTGCTCTATCCACGGAGCCACCTAGCTGTCTCTATTTGGAAGGAAGATTTGTTGCTAGGGTGTGCTAGTAAACATTTAACAAGGTTGAGGGGGGTGGTGGGGGAAGTTTAATCTTCACTCCTAACGTTTTCTCAATTATTTTTTCAAGTCTAGACAATCAAGAAAACAATAAATGAAGCCCTAATTTGTAGCATTTGTCGTTTGCCAATTTCGTAAGTGTAAATGTTCACGCAGAAAATTTTTAACAACAGGAGAGCTGGTGCCAGCACATCACTCACCACTATTTGTTGGATTATAGAACAGTGAATATCCTTAAAAGACCCCAAGGATCCAGGAAGTTACCTGGGCCAGAGGGACTTCGATGCCAGGGACATGCTTAGTTATTTCTCCAGTCTCTGGCAGGACTGGATTCCTAGCTCTCCATACACTAGACCCCTAACACCTCCTCTGTGCTAAGTATTTGCCCAGGGAGGCAGTGGAAAAGAACCTTGAACTTGGAATCGGAGACCTGGGCTTAATCCTTTCTAAGTAGTTGTATGAGCATAGATGGATGAGTCATTTCACTTCTTCAGGACTTAGTTTCTTCACCTATAAAATAAAGTAGTTATATAAATCTATAAAGGACTAAATCATTTTAAAGGTCCTTTCCAGCTCTAAAGCCTACCCTGTGCTCTGCCTTGGATACCTTTCACCAAACTCCAGGGAGAGGAATGTGTCTGTCAGAATTAACTGTCAAATAATAGGATGATTTGAAGGAAAGAGTCCCCTGTAGCCTTCTGTCCTCTTCAAGCCTCTCCCAAAACCAAATTAAAGGAGAACTGGTTTTATACTTTTCCTGCTTAAGTAATTTTTACGTATGTATATATGTCTATGACCTTCAGGAACCACTCCAAATCTGCAGTTGTGCTAGACATTTGGGCTTCCCTGGGATTCCCAACAGAGCCCTCAGCAGCAGCAGCAGCAGCAGCAGCAGCAGCAGGACTTTTGAAAGAATGAGACAGATCAAGGTTCTGGAGCAGACACTTCAAAAAGCAACATGAAGACTGATGCAGTTCCCAGCCAGAAAGGCTCCCCTCACTCTGATGGAGGTTCTTCAGAGCCCCCACATCCTCAGCCCCCAATGTTGTCACCACCTACAAACTGCTGCATGAGTGGCTGCCAAAACTGCGTGTGGCTCCAGTATGCTGAGGAGATCTACGGCACTATCAGGATGGTGGGGCCAAAGCATTGGCTGCAGTGGAGGAAAACGTCCAAGATGAGAACATTAAGGCCTTTATCAAGATGGAGATCAGGTTTCGAATGAAAGAGAAAACCTGAGGTACTCTTCTCCACCTGACAGCTGTCTCTCAGGGAGCTACAATCACCTCTAGTAATTTTTGTGCCTCCTTTTTCCAGGGGCCTTGGGGTAAAAAGTGAATAATAATAGAATGAGTATTTATTGACTTTGCCTGAAAATAAATGCCTCCACCCCTCCACACTGTAACATTTCACCTGGAGGTGTGTACCCTCTGCTGATTATGTGTTTCTTTCTTTTTGAGGAATCATTCTTTAAACATCTAAAACTGCCTTGTCAACTTTCTAGTCTGACTGTAGCTTTTCATTCGCAAATAAATTATCAAGTATATGGCATTGTATAAAATGTATAGCTACAATCTCTTCCAGGGAGCTTATAGAATAAAACTAATGCACTTATTAATACACAGACCTTTGTAGGTTACTGAGAAAAGATAAAACAAACCATGTACATAAAATGCTACTAGAAAGCATTGCCTTGGCTAAGAATTGGAAATAAAGGAATGCCATTAATTGGGGAATGGCTAAACAAACTGTGGCATATGATTGTAATAGAATATTATTGTACTATAAGAAATGATAAGCAGGTGGATTTCAGAAAAACCTGGAAAGACTTACATGAACTGATGCATAGTGAAGTGAACAGAATCAGGAGAATGTTGTACACAGTAACAGCAACATTGTACGATGAAAAACTGTGAATGACATAGCTATTTTCAGCAATACAGTGATCCAAGACAATCCCAAAGGACTAATGCTGAAGCATGCTATCCACCTCCAGAGAAAGAACTGATATTGATCGAATACAGATTGAAGCATGCTATTTTTTTCTTTTATTCAAGTCTTCTTGTACAAAATGATTAATAGGGAAATGTTTTACATAATTGTACATGTATAATCTATATCTGATTGCTTTCCCTCTTAGGGAGGGAGGAATAGAATTTGGAACTCAAAACTTTAAAAATATTTTTTAAAATTGCGGGGGGAAAAGCATTACACTTCTACCATAAATTAAATTAAGCTAGGTCCATCGACAATTAAGTGTTGTCTAGATGCTTATATTCTCTTCATGGGGAACAACGTGTGTGTGTGTGTGTGTGTGTGTGTGTGTGTGTGTGTGTGTGTGTGTGTGTGTGTATTTTGGGGAGGGGGGGAGAACTAGAAGCTGCAGCAGTTAAGGGCTTAGGTAGACAGGTAGCACTTAAGCTTAATTTTGAAAGGGCAGCTCACAATCCCCATGTGGTTGACCAAAGTGAGGACAGTTTCAACTAGATATTTGTCTGTATTTGATAGTAACTTTTATTGTAATAAAAACAGCTCCTTGAGGGCAGGGAACTCCTTCATTTTTATCTTTGTATCATTACGAACAAGCACAGTGCCTGGCAAATGGTAGGCACTTAATAAATGTTTCTTGAATTCAATTTCAAAGGAGTGGGCTGATTTTTTCTTTTGGTCACCGTTGAAGAATAGTAAGCTGCACTTGAAGTCCAGGCTGCTGCTATATTTAAGCAAGGTGGAAGCTGACTAAAATGTTTTCAAGTGAGCTTATGTAATTTTTAAGGAATTTCAATGAACTCTCATATCAATCACAGCATTTATAAATTGCCTACCACGTACCAGGAATTGTGCTGCTGCTGGGAAGAGCAAACTAAGTAAATAACCCCTGCCATTATAGGGTTGACAGTCTATTAGGAGAACCTATACATCTATAAGTAGATTAAAAAAAATACATATGATGTAAATATAAGGTAATTTTGGGAGAGGCAGGCATTTGAAGAAGGTGGCACTTGAGCTTTGAAGGAAACATGGATTCTAAGAGTTAAAGATAAGGAAAAAAGTATTACTGTGATTAGATTATAGAGTAGTGTGTGGATAGAGGTTATGGAACTATGAACCATGGAATATTAGCAGTATAAAGTACTTTGGATTATCAAATCAAATGATCAAGTCACTCATTTTACGTCTGAAAATACTGAGGCCTGGAGAGAAGATTTGCTGAAAGATCATACAGCTAGGCAGTGTGATTGTATTAGATGAGGTCACAATGACAAAATTTCTGTTATAACATGGCAAGCTTTAACAGCTGTTTCCAATATGAACAAACGTTTAGTTTTTACATTCTTCATATCCCCCACTATCTCTTCCCCCAACCCCATCCCATTAAACCATCTCTTATAATGATGAAAAAAAAAAGAGGAAGAAAGAAAAATCTGTGAAGTAACCTCTATCTGTAGGTAACCCACAGGGTTCTGTCCTGAGCTCTTTTCTCTCTGTATACCACTTAACTTGGTGATTTTATCAGTTCTCATGGATTTAATTACCATCTGCTTGCTGAGAATTCTCGAATCTATCCTACCCTAACCTCTTAACTGACTTCCAGATTCACATCTTCAACTTTCAGACATCTCTCACTGGGTGTCCAGTGGACATCTTAAACTCGTGTTCAAAACCAAACTCAGTTATCTTTCCCCCATAAACCCAACCCTCCTCTTACCATCCCTATTATTGTAGAGGGCAACATCATCCTTCCAGTTCCTCAGGCTTATAACCTGGGTGTTACCCTTGACTCCTCATTACCTTTCACTTACCCTCCATATCCAATCCATTGTCAAGGCCTGGTAATTTCACCTTTGCAGTGTTTCTCAATATATCCGTTTCTCTCTTCTTACCCTGCCACCACTCTGATGAAGGTCTTCATTACCTCATTCTTGGACTGTTGTAATAACCTGTTGTTGGGTCAGCCTGCCTCAAGTCTTATCCCCATTCCAATCCATCCCACATACAGCTACCAAAGTGATTTTCCTAGATGACAAATCTAACCATCTCTTCCTTTGGCTACCCACCCCACTCCAGTCACACAATAGACTCCTGTGGCTCCCTATCACCTCCAGGAATAAATACAAAATCCTCTGGCATTCAAAACCCTTCATAATCTAGCCTCCTCCTATTCTTTCCAGTCTTCATACACCTCACTCCCCACCACCTACTCTGATCCAGTAACAGTGGCCTCCTTACTTTTTCTATGAACAAGACACTGCATCTCCTTATTCCTGGAATTTTCTCTGGCTGTCCCACATGCCTGCAAGGAAGGCTCTTTTCTCCTAATCGTCACCAATTGGCTTCCTTAAGTACCAACTAAAATCCCCTCTTCTACAGGAAGTGTTTCCCAACCCCTCTTAATTCTAGCACCTTTCCTCACATTTATTTCCTACTCATCCAGTATATAGTTTGTTTGTACTGCTTATTGTTTCCCATTTAGATTGTGAGCTCCTTGAGGATAGGGACCATCTTTTGCTTCTTTTTGTATCCTTAGCGCTAAGTATGGTTCCCCAGCACGTGATAGGCATCTAATAAATGTTTATTGAAGTGTGTGTGTGTGTGTGTGTGTGTGTGTGTGTGTGTGTGTGTGTGTGAGAGAGAGAGAAGAGAGAGAGAGAGAGAGAGAGAAAGAGAGAGAGATTTTGAATCCAGTTTCCTTTCCAAATTCACAGTTTCATGGAGGAGACAATCTGCAAACAACTATGGACAAACAAGCTACATACAGGATACATTGGAAATAATCACTAGAGGAAAGGCACTAGAATTATGGGGTCTCAAGAAAGCCTTCCCATAGAAGCTGGATTTGAAGCCAGGAAAACTGAGTTCAAATTCAGCCTCAGACATTTAGTAGCTGTGTGACCATTCACAAGTTATTTAACAAACATCTCAGCTTCAGTTTCCTCATTTATAAAATGAGGATAATAACACCTACCTTACAGGGTTTTTGTAAGAACCAAATGAGATGGCATATAAAACATTTTACAAACTTTAAAGCATTATATGAATGCTAGCTATTTATGATGACAATGATGATGATTATGGGATATGCCTAGCAGTGAAATCTTTGGGTGAAAGGGTATGGAAATTTTAGTCACTTTCTTTGCATAATTCCAAATTGCTTTTCAGAATGGCTGTACCAATGCACAGCTTCATCAACAGCGCATTACTGTGGCTGTCCTTCAACACCTCCAACACTGATGATTGCCATCTTTTGCTATCTTTGTCAATTTATAGGGTGTGAGAGGAAGTGCAGGGCTTCTATAAGAATTTATTATGCACTTACTATGTGCCGAGGGTAGCTAGTGGATAGAGTACTGGGCCTGGAGTCAGGAAGACTCCTCTTCCTAAGTTCAAATCTGGCCTCAGACACTTCCTAGCTGTGTGAGCCTAGCAAATCACTCAACCACTCTACCTAAACCACTCCAGCATCTTTGCCAAGAAAACGCCAAATAAAATCACAAAGAGTTGGACATGCCTGAAAAACAACTGAACTATGTGCCAAGCCTTGGGAAAACAAAAACAAAAATGAAACTCCCTACACTCAAGGAGTTCACATTCTACCTGGGAAGACAGCTTGTACTTCAATATATACAAGATATATGCGAAATAAATAAAACCAAGCTAAATTGGGGTAGAGGCACTAGCCCCTGGGGGAACATGTAGAAGGCTTTAGATGGAAAGTGTTATTTGAGCAGAGTTTTGAAGGAAACATTTCTAAGAGGTGAAGGTAAGGTGGAAGTACTCTTCAGTTATGGAAGATGGCAGAGAGATCATTTGAAGAACAAGAAGTCTTGTAGAGTGTGGGAAGGGGAATAATATTTAATAAGGCAGAAGACAGATTTGGGTGAGGTTTTAAGGAACTCTGAAAGTTAAACAGAGCAGCTGATTTTGATCCTAGGGGCAATGAGGTACCTAAGAGTAACTTTGGTAGTGGTGTAGAGGAATAGCCATCAGCCTTGGCCATTTCCATTGAGGAACTCAGACTTCTTTTCCCACTCCCAGGTAGATTTTTTTTTTAAATGGAGATCTTGTTATGAAAACACATATGATTTTTGGTCTTGTCTTTCTACATCCCCCTTTCCTCTGGCCCAACCCCGTCTCTGGAACCGCTCCAAATCTGGAATCATCCATGCCCGTAATCTTTTAAACTAGAAACTTACATTTCCTAAACTGATTGAGATTTTCCTACCTGTGATCTCAAAGGTAGGAAACCAATCAGACTCATATGAGTCACATTCGCTCCTCCCAATAGAATATCTGAACTAATTAGGTGGAATGAAGTTGAACCCAGGAATTGTAGCAAGAGCTAGGTATAATTTGTTACACCAATAGTGTATCTTGGT